TTTTTTCTATGTAAGTTGATTGATGTACAAGAATTTCATCCCTTAGGTGCTCAATATGTAATCCAAGACAAAATCTTGTCTTTCCAAGGTATTTCATTTCAAATTCTTTATTTAAGTATTCCATTGCTATTGAGATATCTTCAGAAGTTCCAATGATATTTAAATCATCAACGTACACAATAATAATGATAAATCCAAAGTTTAATTTCTTTATAAAAATACATGGGGAAATCAGATCGTCCTTATAACCTTCCACTAATAAAAACTTACTAAGTCGATTACACTAAATGTGCCCATACTATTTTAATCTATAAAGAGATTTATTTAATTTGATCGAATAATGTTCCCGAGAATCAAGATTAGTTGCTTCTGGCAAATTAAATTCTTCTGAAAGTTTCATGTAAATGTTATTATCAATATGCCCATATAAATAGTCTGTAACAACATCCATTAGGCGAAAATTAAGTCCTTTTTTACTGTCAGGCTAATAAAAATCTAAAAGTAGTTGCATCCATAACCGGAGAGTATGTTTCTTTATAATCGATTTCGGATCTTTGTGAAAATCCTTATGCAACCAAACGAGCTTTATATCTCACAATTTCTCTTTTTTAATTTATTTATTTTTTCTCACAAAAACCCATTTATATCTCACGGGTTTTACACCATTTGGTGTACGGACTACAGGTTCAAATACTTCTCTCTTTGTAACATATTTTAGTTCTGTCTCAATCGCCTCTTTTCATTTGGCCAATTATTTATTTGTTCATATTCTTCAATTGATACAGGTTCATGATCCACATCATCATTCAAAATCTCTAATGCTATATTACATACAAATATATCATCGACGTCGATTTGATTTCGGTTCCACTTATTATCAGACATGACATAATTTATTGAGATCTCTTCATTATCTGGTACCTGAGTTATATCAAATTTCTCTTATGATCTTTTAATATATTCTAGAAATTTTTAGATTTTTCGATCTTATCATCATTAAATATAGCTCATTTTCTTTTTCAAGGATTTTATCTTTAGACCATCATTAGAAAATTTTCAGGGGTGCCAGCAACTCATTAGCAACTAGAGTTTGTCTCTTTGTGACATCAATTTTAATTGGAGCGTTCATTGTTGGTATATGTAATTTAGTCACTCCTTTAGGGTCAATAAAAGCATCTGACATTTGATTTGCTAAATTTTGTAAATGAATTATCCTTTGAACTTTCAGTTCACATTGTTGGGTATATGGATCAAAATGAGATAATGATAATTCATTCCGACTTATTTCCTTTTCTAATTGTTTATTTTCTCCCCTTAATGTTGGGAAAACCGACTCATTAAAATGATTGTTAACAAATCAAGCTGTAAATAAATTCCCCGTAAAAGACTTAAGATATTTAATTATTGAAGGGGATTCAAATCCAACATATATTCACAGTCTCGTCTAAGGACCCAACTTTTTGTGTTGTGGTGGAGAGATATGAAAATATACCGCACACCCAAAAATTATAAGATGATAAATATTTGGTTCTTGACCAAAAACCATTTGTAATAAGGAGAATTTATGACAACTTATTGGTCTGATACGAATTAATGATGTTGTATGTAAAATAACATGACCCCAAGTTGAAATTGGATGTTTTGATTTTATTAGTAACAATCTTCCAATTAATTAAAGGCGTTTAATAAATGACTTTGTAAAACCATTCGGTGCATGTACATGAACTACAAGATATTCAACACTTATTCCAATTGGCATACGATAATAATTGAATGCTTGAGAAGTAAATTCACCAACATTATCAAGACGAATTGTTTTTATAGGTACTTCCAGATATAGTACTAACATTAGCTTGTTGCTTTGTTAAATGAGAAAACTATTCCTTATGCTTAAGTATAGTATGAGTAGTTGCACTGTCTGCTAAGCATAAATCTTAACCATTTATCGCATACTGTATTTGAGAAGTAATCATATTATTCAAAGAAAAAATAAATAAATATCATAAAAATATTCAAAACATAAAAGTATTTTAAAATTTTAAACATAACGACTATGGTGTTTAAAAAGTAAATTAACATAAGCATTATTCTTGTAAATAATAAATTGAAATGTCAATTATTCCTTCAAGGGTGGTGAAGAAGTCAACTACATCCAAGTGAGTTTGACCAACAATCCCATAATCAGAAACATTTAAGTGTGTTTCACCATCCATGTCGTTTTCATTTTTGTCATTTCCACAAACAAAATTGTTTCTATTTCTTTCCTTTATCTTTTATTGATTGTTGATAAAGGTACACAAGATGCTTTGGCATACGACAAGTATGAGACCAATGGTTTGTACCACGACACAGATAGCATAAAGATTTTGCTTTCTTAATCTGATCTTTATCACTGTTATTATCCTTATAACCCACTTCTGGTGGTTGTAAGATTTCTTAAAATGACCACTTCATCCACGTCCTCGACCATGATAATTACCTCGACTGTGTCCATAACCATGGCCACGGTTGTTGGTGATGCCTTTATTTTTTTCCACTATAAGATGTTGCATTCACTTCAGGGAATAAATTGGCACCAATAGGACGAGACACATGATTTTTCATTAACAATTCATTGTTTTGCTTGGCGATAAGAAGACATGATATCAACTCAGAATATTTCTTAAAACCTTTTTCACGATATTGCATTTGTAAGACAATATTATTTGCGTGAAAAGTGGAGTATGTTTTTTCTAACATATCCTCATAAGTGATACTCTGACCACATAATTTCAATTGTGAAGTAATTTGAAACATGGCTCAGTTATATTCTCTTATTGATTTAAAATCTTGTAATCTCAAATGCAACCAATCATATCGAGCTTTAGGAAGTATAACAATTTTCTGATGGTCATACCTCTCTTTTAGATTATCCCGAAGAACAAGGGGATCTTAAACAGTCAATTATTCAGATTTTAGTCTTATTTTGAGCAGATTCTTTATTCCTTCCCTAATAGTGTCACATAGACCATTTGCATCTAGGTGTATTTCGACATTTAAAATCCATGACAAATAGTTCTTTCCGAAATGTCTAGAGCCATGAATTATAATTTTGCAATATTTGTCATTGATATACTAACGTAAAACAAATTAATTAATTAAAATAAATGATAAATATTATTAATAAATATCTATTAATATAAACTTTAATAAAATAAAAATATAATAACGTAACAATAAAATAAATTGATCAAAAGCATAATAAATATTCAACGATTTGGACATAAAAGAAAACAAGTTAAACGGCCTGAAATGTTTAAATTTTATTTATTATTTAAAATTATTCAATGACATAAACTTAATATGAACTTTTAAAGAAAAAAAATTAATAAAAGATAGATAATTTACCTTAGATTAGATAGAGACGATACTCATTTTTTTGTAAAAGATTTTTAAGCATAATCGTGACGTGTTATAAAATTATAGCATACATATAGAATACTATGTGAGTAGATAATAGTCTTTTATTAAGCATATCTTACAAGTTTGTAGGTATATCCTTTTATAGGTTAAAAAAACCCATAAGTTATTAAAACTACATTTATTAAGTTACCATACATTTAAGTATGGAAGATAAAACATCCACTTAAATGTTTTTATAACAATCCTTAATTAGTCATATTAATTGTTAAATTTAAAACTTTTATTATTAATGTTTTAATTAACGAGTTCATGTAATTACGCCTTATATTTAAACATGATTAACGAAAATACATTTGGATTTATATAATCCATTAATGACTAAACAAGTCTTACTAAATACGAAGCATGATTGGAAATTCTGACCCATTCATTTTAAAAAGTTGTTCTTTGACATGTAAAGTGATGATGCATGGCATGCTGGGAAGCAAGTTAGCTTTGTTGGTGGAATCTGATTGGACATGTTAATTTTAAAGCACAAAAAGTATCTTCCGTTCATTATCAATCAACATATATCATTTTTAATTACCATTGATTTGGTAATCGAATTCCAGCACAGTAGCAGCCAACCCTATGATACATCATATTGTCACAAAAGGAGGGGGGGGGGGAATTCTTCAAGAGAACCAAGTTCTTATGCTTTATTAAAGAACCATAGTGTATTCTTTTTCTCCATGTCAAATTAATGTGCAATGCATCCATCATTTCATGCAACTAGTGGAATTCTTTCTATTCTTTTTCTCTTTAGCATGCAGTTTATATTCTCTCTTTTTCTTGAAAGATATCCGTGAAAAGTAAAAATAGTAAAAAAATTGTAGATTTTCAAACCCAATATTGGAAGGTTTCCTTCTTCTTTTAATACACACCTCTCCTTTTTTTTAAATAATAATTATCCGTACATTAATGAAGTTGACAGATGATATTTAAATTTCACAAAAAACTATCATATTCTTGTTTATTTATATTAAATTTTGCAAAAACTATCATAGTCTTGTTTATTTATATTCTTTTAAAATATATTCATACAGTAACTTTTGAAGTTTAAAAAATATTGTAATTTTATCAAACCATTATCCAAAATAGACAATTTTAAAATTGAAAGATAAAACCTCATTGGCCATTGCCATTAGAACCAAAACTCTCTTTATTTATGCACCGATTCTCCATCACTTCGACACTTTGTACGCAAACCTGCTTGGATTGGACCCACTTTTGGATATTTATGTATAAGAATTGCGAATCATAAGTGCATGTAGACACTAGTTAAAAACTTATTTAATTAGTAATTTAATTAAACTTAAAACATCGTATTCAAGCAATTTAAGAAAATAATGATCATGTAGGACTAATATATTTGTGGATGAGTTGGAGTACTGATTTGGAGAAAAAGCTCATCATCAGCTTTTCCACGCAACTTGGTAAATTCTATGGCGTTGGCGGCTACTTCAATCACATGCCTTGCTCTTTCTTTTCCTTTGAATTGCACCCACTTTTCTTTTCCCTTTCCCTTTCTTCCCATATATATAATCATATAACACCCCTTCGCCCCAAGCCAAACAAAACTCTTTCTTCTTTTATCGTCCCTTATTTCTGTAAATGGTGATGGCTAGCCAACAAGGGCAAGGGATCAAGCTATTCGGGGCAACGATTACGTTGCATGCAAGACAAGTAAAAGAGGAACACAACAACCAAGCTGACAACCCTACGGTCGACAAGAGGCCTGACACGATTATACCTTGTCCTAGATGCAAGAGCATGGAGACCAAATTTTGTTACTTCAATAACTACAACGTCAATCAGCCTAGACATTTCTGTAAAGGTTGCCAGAGGTACTGGACGGCTGGTGGTGCTCTTCGGAACGTTCCGGTGGGGGCTGGTCGTCGTAAAGCCAAGCCAGTACCGGGTCATGGTCTTGCTGGGTTTCCGGAGGGGAGCTTGCATGACGCGTCTTTTGGGGTGCACCGGTTTGAGTTGGAGGGGATGGTGTTGGATGAGTGGCGCTTAACGGCAGAAAATGGTGGTTTCCGGCAAGTTTTCCCGATGAAGCGGAGGCGAATCAGTTGCTCAGGTGGTCACCTTATTGATCTAAGATCTCTTTCATTTTATTTTTTTATTTTGTGTGTGCAGAAGTTTCAACAAAAAGATTAGAAAACTGTATGGATTATATTATGATTATAGACTAATATAGCTACATGCTGGTCTTTGAAGAATTTTCAAGTCTCCTACTGTTACTACTAATCATTTAAAAGATATGTTAACAAAAGAACCAATAAGATCAAATTAGATTGTGGCATAGGGGGAGAATCAATGATTAAATTGAAATTTAATTAGGAGAAATGTGGTATTGGCAGATGACGGGGACTCATGTGGTATGCCAGTAGGACACAATCAACCCAGCAGTGAGGAGTCCATCATCCAATTTCATTGATCCAAATCAGCTATTGAAAGCGAAACCATCACCCGCATTGACATCGGCATCAGAATCATCTTTGATATAAGCACATGGCAAATTTTGACGAATAAGATGGGAGCAGGCAGATTCTTCGGACAAAGGGATAATTTCTTTAAACACTTCAGCTAATGTAAATGGATAGCATTATCTTATCAAATCATAATCATCAGAGATTTTGATATAAAAAAGCAAACTAAAATAAATATTATATATACTATGTACAGATGTTGCGGTAGGGAAAACAGATGCCTTGAGGTTATAGGATTAGGCATCTTATCACTCAGATTAGTGGACTAGTGTGTCTTTAAGCTTAAACAGGTGCTTTGACTGAGCATGTAACTTGAGAAAGAACAAAGAATAGCATTCCTACACACTTGTTTTTCTTTATATCTGTTTTGTCAAATAAAGTTCCCTGGTGACAAGATTCCTGCCAAGTGCATGCCTGAAATCACGCTAGAAAGTATTGAGAATTTTGGATTCAAAAGAACAATGAATTGCCATATGCCTGCAAGGTTTTCATGTTTCGGACAAAGCAGAGGAAGAACATATGAAACAACAACAAAGAAATAGAATGGGGTTTCAGATCCACTGCTACAGACTAATATCTAAACTAATCAGTCTCTTCCCTCATGTTTGCTTAGTTTCCGGGGTCACCCCCTGGAGCTGCTGATTTGTCACTTTTAAAGGAAGGACAATGCACTTCATTCCCATTGCAATCCAACTTGACGTAGTAGTTGGGGTCAACTTTTCTCGTGACGGTCCCAACCCTCCAAGCTTTGTCCATAAAGGCATCGACCCTCTGAGAAACCATGAAATCAAAGTAAGAACTATCAGGGGACAAAGGCCGGACTTCATCGGCGTCAACGACTTCAGTGAGGAAACGTGTTCCGTCGGGGATTAAACGGGTCTCGTAACGTACCAAGTATCTGCTTCTTCCTACCGCAGCTGAAAGAGTTGCCGAATAATAGATGCTCGACAACCCCTTTTCCTTCTTGCATATCTCCACCCAGTTGTTGATGTTGAAAGCCATTCCTATGCAGCTTTCAACAAGAAGGGGTTAAGGCCTTAACTATTAGCTGTAACTGTTTCTGGTTAAGTTGTTGTAACTGTTCCTGGTTAGTTGGGCCGTTTCTGGTTAGTTGAGCTAGTTAGTTAAGCCTGGTCTTATATATAGTGGGCCTGTCCACTATTCATGAAACGGGTGAAGTGTTATTTTGTATTCTACTGAACCTTGTATTCATTTTTCTATCATTCAGTAAAGTTTTACAGTGTTCATCTTCTCTCTTTTTGCTTTGATTCTCCTTTTTCTTTCCAGTTCATCACTGCTACTGTTATCTTTCTCTTCTATCATGGTATCAGTCGCTTAAATTCCTGCGGCCTATAGCTTTCGTTCTGCGTGGTTCTCTGGCTCTCTTATCAATTTCACTCCGGTTGCTCGCGATTTGGGATTCGTGTTTCGTCGTGTTCTCTTCTCTGTTGATCCTCTTTTCGATTCTGGTGAGATTGTTCTTTTACTTCTCTCAATTGACCGTGTGTACTGCTTCTTCATTCGCCTATTTTTCTTTCGGCGTTCCTCAATTTCGTTTTTTGCTTCAATTCTGTTGATGTGCCCTCGCTTGCCCTAATTGCTCAGATTGATGCAAAATTGGTGAATTTTCTTCAGTCTCTTGATCAATTTGACTTCCGTCTGTGCTTGTTTTCAGATTAAGTGTTTCATTGTCGGTGCCTTGTTCTCTTGCCCTAATTGTGTTCTGGTTGTTACATCGTTGGTGGTTTGTTCTTCTATTATGACTTTGATCGTTGCTTTGCCTTCGCTCTTCGGAGGATCTTCGATACTGGTGAGACCTTTCCTATATCTTATTTGGTTAGCTTCTTGCTTCCTGCTTTCTGCGTTCTGGTTGAAGACTTGTGTCTGGACTGTTATCTACTTTGTGTTTTGGATTCTGTATGCTTTCTGCATTGTGTTTGTTTCTTGAATGGCGAATTCCGTTGATGAAAATTCTCTAAATGCCATTAGTGGCTCTGCCTCCTCTGCTCCTAATAGGTTATTCTCTACTAAGAAAATTAATGTTACCTTAGATGATCACAACTACTTGATATGGCATCAACAGGTTTTTCTCATTATTAAAACACATAGACTGCAGAAGTATATAGATCCTCATGTTTCTTGGCCTACATAGTATGTTACTTCAGATGGTGTAGTTAGTTTGAACCCTGAATATGAATTGTATGAGGAACAAGATGGAGCTCTTGCCTCATGGCTGCTCTCTACTGTTAGTGAGGAAGTGTTGCCTCATCTGATAGGTGTTAACACTGCAGCTGAAATTTGGAATACATTACATAGGCTATACAGTGGCAAGACCACTTCTAGGTTAATGTCCTATAGGAGCTCTTGCTCCTAATAGGTTATTCTCTACTAAGAAAATTAATGTTACCTTAGATGATCACAACTACTTGATATGGCATCAACAGGTTTTTCTCACTATTAAAACACATAGACTGCAAAAGTATATAGATCCTCATGTTTCTTGGCCTACACAGTATGTTACTTCATATGGTGTAGTTAGTTTGAACCCTGAATATAAATTGTATGAGGAACAAGGTGGAGCTCTTGCCTCATGGTTGCTCTCTACTGTTAGTGAGGAAGTGTGCCTATATCTGATAGGTCTTAACACTGCAGCTGAAATTTGGAATACATTGCATAGGCTATACAGTGGCAAGACCACTTCTAGGTTAATGCCCTATAGGAGAATGCTACATTCTCAGAGGAAAGGAGAGCTGAGTATGAGAGATTACTTGATGAAAATCAAGTCTGTTTGTGATAACCTAGCTAGCTGTGGAGAGATAATTTCTGAACATGAACACATCACTGCTATATTGAATGGACTGCCACCTGAGTTTGAGTCAGTTATCACTGTTATAACTGCTACTCCCACTCCTCCAGATCTAAGGTCTGTCAGCACCATATTATTGGATGCTGACACTAGACAGTCTCAAACCTTTAGTCATGTAACAGCTTGTGCCCACATTGCAACTCAAGCTACAAGTGATCAAGTGACCCCTAATAGTGATTCACATTCTGAATATCAGTATAAGGGTGAACTTGTTGATAATATTGGTCAAAACTTCAGTAACAGTAACAATAGTAATAGGGGTAGAGGTCGAGGACGGTTTTCTTCCTCTAGACCACAGTGCCAATTGTGTGGCCGAATATGACATCTTGTTGAAAGGTGTTATTACAGATTTGATATGAACTATAAGAATGAATCCTCTCGACCTACACAAAACAGTAATAATAAAAGTTATTCCACTGCCCAAGCCAATGTCAGCTCATATAATCCCAGCAGTGGTAATTTCAGTCCTTATAGTTCAGTGTATTACACACATTCACCCTTAGTATCTGCTGTTCCACAAGTTTCTGGTCCTCAAGTTTCTGTTCCTCAAGTTTCTGCAGCAGCCTCTCATATGCCTCAAGTTTCTGTTTTTCCACCACAAGCTTATTCTGTTAATTTTCCACATCAAATTTATTCAAATTCTCACAACATGCCTTCTTTTATTTCTGGAAATACAAATCAGCTCCCTGCTGCTACTTTACCTCATCTCACATCTCAAGCTTATATAGCTACACCTGAAATAGTGGATGATAATGCTTGGTATCCAGATTCTGGAGCAACTCATCACATAACTAAAGACTTCAGTAACCTGCAGGTTAAAGAAACTCACCCTGGAACAGGTAGTGTGGTTGTAGGCAATGGTAATACTCTTTTAATATAGTGCACTAGTCAGTCATTTTTCTGTACTAATTCCAATAAATTTCGTTTAAATAAATTGTTGTATGTTTCTAACATTACTAAAAATCTGCTATTTGTTTCTAAATTCACTCAGGACAATCAGGTTTTGCTTGAATTCTACCCTAATTTCTGTCAGGTTCGTGACTTGCATACTCGAAAAGTGCTGCTAAGAGGAAGTCAAGATGGAGGACTGTACAAATTCAATATTTCCATGAATAACACTGATAATAATTGCATGTTTACTGATGATGAAATGCATGTTAATAATTTTAATAATAGCTCTTTGTCTTCAATAAATTGTTACATTGTTAATACTAGAGTGTCTGTAGATATATGGCACAAGAGACTTGGCCACCCTTCTAAAGAAGTGCTACTTTCTGCATTAAAACATTACAATGTAACTCCTTCTAATGTAAATAAAGAACAAGTGTTATGCAAAGCATGTCAACTTGCTAAATCACACAAATTGCCCTTTTATGACTCACACACTGTTTATGAACATCCACTAGAACTTATAGTATCTGATGTATGGGGCCCTGCCCCTGTTTACTCTAATGGATTTAGATATTATGTTTCCTTTACTGATGCACACAGTAGGTACACTTGGATTTATTTTCTGAAACAAAAGTCTGAGGTTAAATTTGTCTTTCTTCAGTTTCATAAACATGTGGAGAGGCAATTTGGTGTCAAGCTAAAGGTATTTCAGTCTGATGGAGGAGGTGAGTTTGGAGCTCTTCAACCTTACATGAAGAAGCAAGGTATAATACACAGACTGTCATGCCCCCATACTTCAGAACAGAATGGTTTGGTGGAAAGAAGGCATCGACAGATTGTTGAGGTAGGCCTTTCTATGCTAGCTCAGGCTTGTATGCCTTTAAGTTTTTGGAATGATGCATTTTCCAGTGATGTCTTTATTATTAATCGATTACCTACATATGTGCTATCTGGTATATCACCATATGAGAAAATTTTTCATAAAGCACCAGATTACAATTTTTTAAGAATTTTTGGTTGCACGTGTTACCCTTTTTTAAGACCCTATAATCAGCACAAATTTCAGTTTCGTTCTTCTGCATGTGTCTTCTTGGGGTATTCACCTGCTCACAAGGGATATAAGTGTTTAAACTCTAGTGGTCGTGTCTATGTGTCAAGACATGTTAGATTTGAAGAAAATGAGTTTCCATATCAGCAACACCAAAGTTTTCCCATTGTTTCTAGTTTGTCAGGTTTAAACAATCTAAAGCATTCAAGTGTCAACAATGTTTCTCAAAACAGTTTATTTTATCCTTATTTTCTTTCCATTCCTACTAGCATACACAATCACAAGTCAATCTTACCATCCACTACACCATTAACATCATCATTTTCACCAAATGTATCATCTTCACCACAACAACTCATCACATCTCCGTTTTCTTCTCCAAATTCGTCTCGTTCAAATTCATCATCTTCTACACCACAACACACCATCTTCACCATCACCACTACCTTCATCCACTACACCATTAACATCATCTTCACCATGCACCTTAGAACCGATTGAAACTACTAATTCATCACCATCGCCACTACCACCTTCACCATCACCACTACCTTCACCATCACCACTACCTTCACCATCATCATCATCATCTGCACCTCGGCTAGTTCAGAATGTTCATCCTATGATCACTCGTGGCAAAACTGGTGTTTTTAAGCCTAAAGTGCTGCTTGCTGAGACAAGTCCTCAAGAGCCAACAAATGTCTATGAAGCATTGCAACATCATGCTTGGTGTGAGGCTGTTCAAAGTGAATATGCTGCCCTTATGAAGAATGATACGTGGGAGTTAAAGCCTCTGCCACCAGCACGAAAAGTAGCAGGCTGTAAATGGCTTTTTAAAGTCAATAAGAAGCCTGATGGTTCAGTTGAAAGGCTTAAGGCTCGTCTAGTGGCCAAGGGGTACTCTCAAATGGTGGGAAGAGATTTTTTCGAGACGTTTAGTCCAGTGGTTCGAGCAAGTACAATAAGAATTATACTGGCAGTTGCTGTAATGAAAGATTGGCCACTTAGACAAACTGACATCAACAATGCATTCCTTAATGGGAGGCTAACCGAGGAAATATACATGTGTCAACCTCCTGGTTTTGAGCAAAGAAGTGAAGATGGGAAGGAGCTGGTATGTTGCTTGAAGAAGGCTCTTTATGGGCTTAGACAAGCACCTAGAGCATGGTTTGAGACCTTGAGAAAGTTCCTGATTGAAAGCCTGAACTTTGTTGCTTCAAAAGCTGATTCTTCTCTGTTTATCAGAAACTCAGCATGTTCTCAAGTGTGGTTAATGGTAAATGTAGATGATATAGTTATCACGGGAAGTCAGGTGATAGAAGTGGATGTCGTAGTGCAAGCGATTAACAAGGAGTTCTCTCTTAAAGATTTGGGTCAGCTAGAGCTGTTTCTTGGAATGCAAGTTGAACGTTCTCAAAGAGGCTTGTTCTTGAATCAAAAGAAGTATATCTCTGAACTACTAAAGAGGTCAAGTCTAGATGAGTCAACTCCCACTCCTACTCCCATGGTTGTTGCTCCTAAACTCAAGGCAAATGATGGACAGTTGTTTGGTGATGTTCATCTTTATCGTAGTATTGTGGGAGGTTTGTAGTAGATATGCTTAACGAGACCTGACATAGCCTATGCTGTTAATAAGGTTTGTCAGTACATGAACAGTCCATGTGATACTCATTGGAGGGCAGTGAAACGTATACTGAGGTATCTCAGTGGGACACTTGAGCATGGGCTGTTTTTCTCACAAGCTAAAAATTTCAATCTTGTCTGCTACACTGATGCAGACTGGGCAGCCTCGGTGGAAGACAGACGGTCCACAACAGGCTATTGTGTATACCTTGGAGGTAATCCAATTGCGTGGTGCTCTAAGAAGCAAAGTGTTGTCTCCAGGTCTACATCAAAAGCAGAGTATAGGAGTCTTGCTAATTCTGTTTCTGAGTTGGTTTGGATTGAGCAGTTACTTGGTGAAGTAGGGATTAATGTAACTGGAAAGCCAGTTGTATGGTGTGATAACACCTCTGTAATCTCTATGGCAGCGAATCCAACACATCATGCTCGCATAAAGCATGTAGAAATTGACATTCACTTTGTGAGGGAAAGAGTTTTGGCTGAACAACTTAGTGTTAACTTTGTTCCTTCTGCAGAACAGGTAGCTGATATACTCACCAAACTATTGCCACCTGTAGTGTTTGGTGACATGCGCTCTCGTCTTGGTGTAAAGTCTTTGGCTGAGATCAATGGTACCAGCCATGTCAAGCAAGTCTGAAGATGCCAAGAAAATGTTGAATTGGCAATTCAGATTAGTAGAAAACCCAGAGAATATTAGAATATAAAATGCAGTTGTCTAAAGCTGATTAGCTGTAACTGTTTCTGGTTAAGTTGTTGTAACTGTTCCTGGTTAGTTGGGTCGTTTCTGGTTAGTTGAGCTAGTTAGTTAAGCATGGTCTTATATATAGTGGGCATGTCCACTATTCATGAAACGGGTGAATTGTTATTTTTATTGAACCTGTTCGTTTTTCTATCATTCAGTAAAGTTTTACAGTGTTCATCTTCTTTCTTTTTGCTTTGATTCTCCTTTTTCTTTCCAGTTCATCACTGCTATTGTTATCTTTCTCTTCTATCATTAACAAAGTGCACTGTTAACTGTCGGAAAGATTCTGGAAATAGGAAGATCAAAGTTATTGAAGAAGTGACAATTGGAATCTTGAAAGCTTTGTATGGGGAAATTCTTTTTGTATGTAAAACCAACGGTTTTAACTCTTTAAGTATTTAGCCCTTCTTCACGACTTGTATCAGCCGTTGGATTTACCCTCTGTCTTGTATGATTACGATTTACGAATGTCTTCCCCTTCACGAATTTGGCGTTGATTTTCCCTTTCTTGTTTTAAGGTAAATAAAAAATTTACCTTTTAAAAAATATGGTGTGAAATAAATAAATATTGAAAATTTTACACAATAATTTGTAGTAGTTCAACTTCTTCAATGTTGTCTACATCCACTACCTAGCTCCATAGTAAGGATTTTTAACAAATTTACTAATTTGTTATTTTTTTCTATGCTCAAGAGTAACATTTACAAATTTCTAGTTTTTTAAAGGTTAAACTAGAATCACTCCATTTTTACAAAAGATAAGAAATGTAAATAAGAAAATTTCACAAGGTAGGTTTTTAGAGGAATTAAGCTCACAAGAAAAATAATTAAAAGGTATGCAATGAGCTCACACATTTGTACTTTTTTCTTGATCTAGATTTCTTGGATATGTGTTGTAGCCTTCTTCAAGTGTTCTTGTGTTGTTTTTATAAGTTGAAATATGTTTGTGTTCTTTTCTAGCTGTTAGGGATGATTTAGATTTATTGGTACTTAATTTTCTACAAAATAAAACTGTCCAGAACATGGAGTATCAATATTGCCTTTTTGAGTATCGATACTCTCTTTATAATATTTAAATAAACTAACCATTAATAACCGTCGAACAAGGGTAATATCAATACTAGGGTTTGTGGTATTGATACTACTGTATAAAGTAGTATCGATACTCGTAAAGTATCATTACCAATTTTACATTCTAGAATTTGAACAACTTTGAAAATAACAGGTAGTATCGACACTATCATGAGAGTATTGATACTTCTCTCACCTTTGGTATCGGTACTGTAAGAACAATATCAATATTGTTCATACGATATTGATACCGTGAGAACAATACCAATATTAGTTACCCAGAAAATCGTTGTATTCATATTCTAGCTAGTTTTGTGAATTTTGAATTAATTTTGAAAACTTAAAATAAATTCAATCAAGTCTAAAAACTTGTTTCTTTTAAAAACCCTTTTAATTTTTATATATCAAAATATAGGTTGAATATAATGCACTTGTTGATCATGCATAAAAATTAACTTTTGAACTTTCCAATTTATACATACACAACAACAAAAGTCGACCACATCCTATTTTACAGTGGTCTATAAATGTATTTCAAGAATATTAGTGAGTGAAATGGCTGGACATTTACCTTCTATGACCTCTCTCAACCAAAGTGCATTTGTCACAGTATAAAACTTACTTGACATTACATTTCTTGCTCATGAACTGGTCAAAGATTTGTATAATTATGTGCATTATTCCTGCACTTTTATTTTTTAAAAATTCAATCTGAAAAACTAAATCGTCAATTACAATGATAACTTTAATGTAATATTCACTGTAATTTTGAAATTATTATTTCTTTAAATATTTTTCAGATACAATACTTCATAATCAAGAAATGACGACATTAAAGAAACTGGGTAAATATGCATTGGATAAATATACCTTCTATGACTTCTTACTTGATTTAAATTGGTAATTAAACTTTATTTTTTGATTCAATTCGACATTTACAATTTTTTGAGATACAATTGGGTATCTTAATCTGGCCTCTTACTTTAACTTTGTCCTTGAACTTAGCTTATTGGTTTCGTTCTGCAGTGAATGAGTTTTCAGTCTAATTAATTATTACATTCGAAATAAAAATATTTATGTTTGATAAAATTTCAATATTATTTGAATTTGCTTAAATTGAATCGACCTGAACAATCTAAATATGAAATAATCTAAATTGAACCAACACCTCAAATTAATGTGCCTAATTGGACAAAAAACATAAATTTCAAACTGAGGCAAAGAAGCTAGATTTAGGTACAATTTAAATTAAGAAACCAAGTGCAGATGCCAAATTGATATTTAAAAAAAGTTCAAGTATCACAATGTATATTTATCCAAAGAATTTTTTTTTAATTTTTGGAACTCAAGAACTTTTATTTAACGAACTTCTTTCATTCGCGATCACCGGATTCTTAAATTTTGATAAGGAATTTGGCATCCATTTTCTCTTTGCTTTATGGCAACCATTGAAGAATTTGTAGCTACAGCGCATGAAGAAAACATTAAATCAGGAACCAATGCACTTGCCGGTCAAGCATAGAAATCGTAGTGTTTGAACATATCAAGAAGTTAAAAGCATAATGGAAGATCCATACTACCAACTTCAAACTATATATGTATTTATACACTGCCATGTCTTATTCGGATTACAAATGGCAGTTGTCACCACAAAACTTTATGTCCGCCGTGAATTTAGGGGAAGGTTCATTGGCACGAGCTGTATAAGATGCAGAGGGCTGAGGGAAGGAAGAAGATAGCTTTGAGTATTGTTTCCGTTATACCTGCTGTCTATAGGTTACTACTTACTTTTTGCTTTGCATCTCAGTACTAATTAGGTTGGAAATGCGTTTGGAATTTCAGTGAACAAAGCAGGAAAAGAAAAGAAAACATTCTGAAAATAACACTTATTTTATCAAAGAGGGAAGGGTGTAAAGAGAGAAAAGTATAAAAAAAAGCCAATGACAATGCACAATCCAAACATCAAATAATAGCCATTGAAATGAGTGAAAGCAGTTGAATCTCTTTCGAAAACTGGTTAACTCCAACAGTTTCATTCATCTCCGTCGGCAACCTTAGCAGCACCAAGCTTTGCGACCTCTTCTGTAATGAAACAAATGCATGACACTGCTAATTAAGAAGTATGATAATTTTTATTAATACTAGGTGTAATAATAAGGCCGCGATTCGTAGTAAAGCTATTCAACGGTGCAAATCCACAGAGTTACCATCCTCTGGGATGTCAGAAGTCCATAAAGTAAGGTTGTCCCTAAAAGCTGCATAATCAAAGTGCTATCTTGTATGACTCTTCGCTTAAAGTATCCAACTCTGAGATAGCTTCATCAAAAGCTTGCTAGCAAGGGACAGGCCCTGCTTTACAAGTTTAACATGTAACATGCCTTTCTAATATTATCCACAAGTAGCTCAACCAGAATATTAACACATAGGAAACAACATGCATGCGTACCTTCAGGAGAGTTCATAATTTCATAATAGAACACAGAGAAGTTCAAGGCCAAACCCAACCGGATTGGATGCGTAGGAGGAAACTTCGCTTCTGCTGTTGTTGTTGCAGACTGCAACCAAAATATCATAGGATAAGTCTCGGAGTCGGGAAAAAACATGGGGACAATTTTATTCTTAAAAGAAACATCTATCTGAAGATTCTTTTTTCAAATTCCCTACAAATGACATTTGGTTCATAAGTAATTAAAACATTGGTGAAATTAATAATGCAAAAGCCATGAAGTTCTTAATAAAAGCATGCCATGAAGTTGAACAAAGCCATTTTCCTACTTCTGTTGTTTTCTTCACTCCATACCATAAGGAACACCGAACATGCATCAACCAACCAACCACAATTCGTAAGCAAAAGATGTACATATTCAACATTTTATAAATCAAAATTAAACATAATTGAACTTGCCTGATATGCTTTCATGGCCTGATCAGCAGCCTCTTTCCTCTCATTGCCCGTCTTAAATTCCGCCATGTACCTGTAATAATCCCCTTTCCTGCAACCAAACAAACCCAAAAAAAATCTTCAGAAAAAAACAACATTAGAATCAATCAATTAACGAAGAAAACCCAATAAAAGTACACATTTTATAATAAAACACCGTAGACTCTTCACCGGAGCAAGAAGGAATGAGATGCTCATTGATCACTCCCATAATATCTTTACAAATATTGTACAACTCCAATTCCACTTTCTGCCTATACCCTTTGATTTTCTTAACATTTTGCTCATTCCCTCTGCTCTCTTCCTTTTGCTCGATCGAAGACAAGATCCTCCACGATGCCCTTCGAGCACCGACCACGTTTTTGAAGCCGACAGAGAGCAAGTTCCGTTCTTCTACGGTCAGTTCCACATCAAGCTCGGCTAGTTTTTTCATAGCAACCACCATATCTAGAACACAAAAAAGATCCCACAATTTTAAAATGTTAAAAGAAAAAAAGAACCAAAGTTTGTGACTTTATTTAGTTAGATCGGACCATCAAATCTTTCAGCTTGCTCAGCTAGCTTGGCCACATAAACCAAGCTTTCACGTTCTTTGGAGAAATCCATGGCCGATAACAAGCGAGAAATGAAAAAAAGTAAGGAGAAGAGATGCAGAGCCAGAGAGGAAGAAAATGATCTCTCTTTTCCGTGTTTTTTTTTTGTTTTTCTGGTGTTGGTTGGGGAGCACCAATCAGGGAGAAGTAAGATGAGTTTAGTGGAAGCGGTGACAAGACATACTGCTCGGCCTCTATTTGGAATGTCAATGTCCCACGTGACACTAGGGCTGTGGTGTACACTCTATTGAAATAGCCATTGTTACGTGGTCGTTTGAAGTAGTTTGGGTTGTAATAGTTTGTTCTGAGAGTGATGCTACTTGAGAAGTTAGATAGGAAAGCAATGATGGAGACAGGTCAACTTTTGAATGAATTTAAAGTTTACCTTTAAAACACAGAAATTATTCAACACTGTTGGAAAGAAAAATATTTAAACCTCCCAAATCTACCGGTCAGTTTTTGTAACTACTAACTACTGAAACTTTGCCCAGTAAATGATTTGGGCTTCACTAATCGGAATTAAGAAAATGGGTTTTACATCAACAATAGACCATTTAATTTTATTTCATGCATTTTGCTTTATGAGTATATATTGATATTTATTAAAAATGTAAATTTGTTTTTTAAAATATTAATTTGATTTTTCAATAATATATAGATTTACATGACCAATACATTAAATATAAACTTGGTTGGACAGGCTAGAACAGCACATTATACATTCAATTCAAGGCAGGTTGAGAGTAGTTGGCTATGGGATGATAGATTTGAGATGGATCTTCTTGAACAGGTGTTAGATTGGTTGAGTGGATGGCAAGAATCTTATTAGAATGTGATTTGGTCATACTGTGCAGATTAGTTGCAGAGTTAAAAAAAACATTTTAAATGCAATAAAAAGTATTTAAATAGGTCTTGATATAATTCTTCATCTTCAACGCACAAAATTTAAGCACCTCTTTCAAGGGAAATTCAATGCTCAATTATAAGTTTATATTACACACAAACATATGTATACGAGTACAATACATCACATTATGGAGCAAGCATGGGGGTTTTCATCGCTGAAGATAGAGCTGGCTTGTTCATCAATAAGAGTTGAATAAGGCGGTGGGTGATAGTAACCATGGTCATGTCCGTCATAGCCATGCTTGTAGTAGTTGTAGGATGAAGAACGTCCAGTTGCATTGTAAGTAACAATGGGTTGTCTCTCATAGTATTCGTAGTAAAATTGGTTCTCAGGTCTGTATGGATACGGCCACAGCTCAGCTCTCCTTCCATTTTTCTCACTTTTTCAACATCTTCTTCTGGTCTGCCTGCCCAACCCATTACCGTTACCTTTGCATCCCCATATCTACGTCTACGCTGTCCACTCCTGAAAGAAATTAAAACACCCAAATTATGTCATTCACAGAGCTTCGACAATTAAAGCTTTGCATTAGTGTTTAATATCATGCATGAAGTTGAAAGTTGGACATACCCTTGAGTTTTCCAAGTTCCTTCTTTATCTTGGTGGCGCAGCCCTCGCAATCCATACGTACTCTCATCTCTATCATCTGCGGAGAAAGAAGACCAAAAATTTCAATCATGTAAGTAATTAGGCAATAGTTTGGTGCTAAAATTATTTTTTCATTGGTAATATGTATATTATATATGAAAAACGAAAGAATCATGAACTAACCCCCATGTGAGTATCTATGGTCTTTGTCTTCAGAATAGAAACTTGATAGATGAGAGAGCCATGGGGACGTACTTATTTATAGGGAAGGCCAGCACATAAAATGCTTCTTGGGGAGCAAGCTTTGTAGAAAAAGCTTGGCAGCTGCTTCGAAATTAAATAAGGAGCTAATTAATAGCATTTCGCAAACCTAACAGTACAAGTAATTTAATAGAGTAATATTTATATTAGCCAACCGGCTTCATAAACACTAGTCAACAAACTATCGGGAAGATTCTCCGTTGTTGCCTAATGATTTTAAGCACAACAAGTAAATATATCGAGTTAAGAATGATTGATTTTGTTGACAAATACAGTAATTCAAGCCGCAATCCTTTCGAGGCTCCTGAACCGAGTAAATCAGTTACTTAAGGATATTGCTAATTGTTGCTTACTTATAGTATACGCCTGCATGCAAATTTTTTAATTAATCATTGTTATACGTGTGGGAGATCGAGTCAAAACTTAGTATTATGCGACATCAGTTTTGTCTGATAAAAGTAGGTATATGTCTAGGACCTCTAGGTTAATAGATTTGAAAGTGCCGAGATAACATGACAACGGCACTAGTTCACGAATGTGGCATTTTAAAATTAGAAGAAAAAAATACAAATATGATAACCATGTAAATGAAAAAAAAAAGATGTTTGTATTTGATCAAAATTTAATAATTTATTTGAATTTTAAATTTGAAAAATAAATAAATAAAATTTTAAAAAAAGTGAAAAAAAACCCAGATTATCAGCCGAAGATCAGCCCAGAACAAATTAGGCCCAGATATTTCCTTCTCATATCCCCTCCCCCTGATTTATTGATGCAGGCCATACAGTTTTCCTTTGTGAGATGGCTAAATAACAAAAGAACCCGGACAATAACTGCAAAAACGATGTACATCGAGCGATACGTACAACTGGAACATACTAAATACTATTTTCAAATCCTTGAATCCATTTTCGGCACCAACATTTCCCTGTAATTTGAGATAGCTTACATATTAAACATCAGTTGACAGTGGTTAGTGTTTATGAGATCAAGTTGCAAGTGCACAACAGACTAGTAATAGGCTTTCCCCTTTTGGTTCCCCCCCCCCCGCCCAAACACCAAATGGATGTTAAATAATCATGGATTTAAACGTTAATGGTCGGTTTTAAGTGAAAAATCCGTATGGTTGCAATGGCGCACGCAATGCAGTTGACCTCTATTTCCCCTTCACTTTTGTCATTAGTGTGCTTGCTAGCGGAACAAATAGTCAAAACAGCAAGCAATTGCAATAAAAAAGAAAGTTGTAAAATCCATTAACAATGGCAGAGAAGGAAGGAGATATTGTGAAGAAAGGGCATGAAGAGGAAATGAAAATGGCTATTGGGCTTTTGGAAGAATTTGGGCTCCCAATGGGACTTCTCCCTCTTATCCATGTTGGTTTCGCAAGGTGTATGGGTTACATGGGACACTGAAATCACTGGATATGGAGAAGCATGGGTCAGCTTCTTAATCAACTTTCTAAGATGAACAATACATTATAGCCATTTCCATACCAGGTTATTAGACTTTTTTTTTTCCTGTGTAGATCTGTTCATGGCATCCATTCCAACAAGCAAAATTAATTTATTGTTATACTATTTGGATTTTTCAACAGTTGGTTTATAAGCAAATATAACTGATCGGTGAACTTTCGATTTAACAGCAAAAAGGAAGTATTGGGTAATTAGGTTCGTGTATTATATACTGAAATAATTATATATAAAATATAGATTGGAATGATAAGATATATCACTAAAAAAATATTTTATATGTGACATAGCATAAACTGGTAAAATACAAATGTTTCAATTAGTGTGTATATTTTGTAAAAATAAATAATAAATTAATATAAGACTCTAACACAAAATTATATATCAGAGTTGAATTACAATAATAGATAATCAAATATAAAAGAAATAATACATGACATGAACATAATATAATAACTAATTAAAACATAACATGAAAACTAATATAATATAAATTTAATTCAATTTTTTTGTTACAATTTAATTCAATTTTCAGAAGCGTAACAATGACATAATAATTCTTAAAAAGAGTAGGACTCTTTTGATGTATGTATTGATGTTTCTTAGATCTCCCTTTTCATGCATCCAAATATTTGGATTAATGATTAATTCATGCATCTATTATATTTTATAGATTTATATTTGATACATTAATATAAATATAGTATACGAGTTTTTTTATCAGTAAGTAAGACGTCACTAGTAAAAAAAATATAATAAAATAATTCAAGATTTTGTTTTTTGTGGACTCTTACCTTCAGAGATTCGATGAAATCCCAATAGAATTTCCTATAAAGAAAATGAGTAATAACTAATAATTGAGTGAAGGCTAATAAAAAATGAAGTTTGAGAAAGGGCGTCCACAAATCATGGATAAATTTCCAATGGTGTAAAGCCAGCGTGTTAAAACTTAAAAACCCAAACAAATGAATTTGCAATCATCCCAGCCTTTTTGAGTTGGAGCATACTTAACGTAATAAAGTTTGCTCTCCCAGATTGATGGGTGATACATACAAATTAATTCTGTTGTGAAAAAGGATAAAGTTCACAAAAAGGAGGGATCTGACTTGCACGGCTAGTATTTCAAAGATGGTTTTCATGTGGACAACCTCACTTCATCACTTGGTTTTCTCAGGCCTGCTGAGATTTCTATTATGGAGTCTTATTGTGATGGAATCTGTATGATTTTGATTTCAAGGTGTAAGCGTCAATACGTTGTAATGATTGACGGATAAGCTAGCGATTCTGGAGGCTTTCTATATAGACCAATCAGTTGAAATTGCGGCACTATTTTCCTCAAAATGGTATCGCAGACTCGCAGTCGTTAGTGTCTCACTACATTCTAATCTTCAACTTAATTTGCAGATTCCACACAACGGAATCACTTCTTTTGTATTAATTTTAGAGATGGAAATCTGTGTTGGCAACGCAAGACCAGTTCGTTTACTCTGACTATGGGCCTTCTTTTCTTGTCGGGCACCACGGTTCACCTCAGCAAGTACTGCTACTGTTACATTCATTTAACTTTTGATGAGTCCTAAAACTATTGTGTTCATGGTTGAGAACCTAATAGTCCTGGTTAAGTTGTCATAATCGTCTTTCTGCATATTGCTTGTCAAACATGACTTAATGAAAGCGAACTAACTGCTGTTTTGTTTTGATATGTGTTGCTTGTCAAACCTGATTTCATGTGTTCGTAGACTGTAGTCTGGACCCTCTGATGTTTGATCCCACTTTACTCCGTCGCTTGTTTTCCCTTCGTTCGATGTCGATCTAACGTAATGTTAGAGTAAGCACTCTAATTCAAATAAAACTTCCTTGGAGAGAGTTTCATTACAAAACCACAAACACAAGATCCATTGAACATACTTCTAACTACATAGAACCTCCTTGTGCTTTAAACGTCTATTCCACTTATATTACTTGCTATGAGGTTTAATATTATGGTTTTTAGCTTTGATTAACTGTTATCAATTGTGACTAGTTTAACAGAGTATTCCATTATGATTCGCGGAACATAGTTTATCGCAAGTTGAATTGGAGCATGTCCCACCAAAGCACTAGTGAGGTGGGGATATAGGGTGATAATTTGACTGGTGAGAAAATGCTGTCTATAAAACCCTCATAGCTCGTTTGATATTAGTGTGCCTATTGCATAAAGCTTCATATTGAGTTATTCACTTCCATAATCCTCGATAGTCATAGTTCAATGGCTACAAATTTATTCCGAAACATTTGCTTGGCCTATCTCCATGTTTTGTTCATCTGGATTTCCCATGCCTACTGTCGCCCTCTAATTGAGGAACACATGTTGAAGAGAGATGAGGAATGGATGGCTATGCACGGCCGCGTCTAGGCAGATGCAGTCGAGCAGGAGAAACGCTATGCAATATTTAAGGAAAACGTTGAATGTATCGAAGCTTTTAATAATGGTGTGGAAAAAGGATATAAGCTAGGTGTAAACAAATTTGCAGACTTAACCAATGAGGAGTTCCGTTCCCTACACACCTGTTACAACTTACAAACGTGGGTCCTTTGAATCGATGATGTCGAATTCAAAACCCTCATATTTTCGCTATGGAAACGTAACCTCTGCACAAGCTGTTGTGGACTGGAGGAAAAAGGGTGTCGTGACCTCTGTCAAGGATCAAGACACCTGCGGTGAGTGAGAATTCATGAATTACAAGCATGTTATCAGTTTATTCCTTTATCATAATATGGCAGGTTAACATATAGTACTTGTTATATTTGTATACAAATACAGGATGTTATTGGGCGTTTTCAGCAGTGGCGGCTATAGAAGGAATAACACAAATCAAGAAAGGGAAGTTAATTTCACTGTCAGCAGCAGCAGCTTGTGGACTGTGATATCAATGGGGAAGACCAAGGATGTGAAGGTGGCCTCATAGGCACCACATTTCGATTCATCAAAAGCAACCATGGCTTAACAAAAGAAGCCAGCTACCCTTACCAGGGTTCAGAAGGAATCTGCAAAAAGAAGGAAGCAACTCCTGCAGCAACTATAATTGGCTACAAAGATGTGCCGCCTAATAACGAGAAGGCCTTGTTACAAGCAGTGGCAAACCAACCAGTTTCCGTTGCCATAGAAGGAAGTGGATGGTCTTTCCAGTTTTACAAGAGGGGTGTTCTTGGGGGAGTGTGACACTTACCTTGACCATGCTGTCACGCTTGTTGGGTATGGAACCAACTCGGATGGCACCAAATACTGGTTGGTGAAAAATTCATGGGGCACTGGCTGGGGTGAGAACAGTTCTATGAGGCTCGAGAGGGATGTTGCTGCCAAGGAAGGTCTTTGTGGCGTTGCCATGAAAGCTTCTTATCCTATTGCATGAAAGAAGGAAATATTATTAGATACTATTATATTAAGCTGCAACCTGTCAATATCAATATCATGTTATTTTGCTCAACTGTAAAACTACTGTAAAATTTGTGTTAAGTTAGCAACGCTTCCTGTAGGAAACTGTAAAATAAATTCAGCAATAAAGTGTTTGATTTGATGATCTAATTACTATTCAAACTCCATTTGATTGGCAATAATTACGTAACATATAGCATGGCACCAAAACAGAGACATTCCTTGTTTAAAACTGCTGATTGCCAAGGGATTTCTTGACCTATTAACAGAAAATCCCCTAAAGGCTAATAAAACATAAGAGGATAATTATTGAAGAAACCTCTTTCTTTCAAGGTATAAAACCACTGAGAACAAATGGGAGATGATCATGCAGTTGGTTTAGTAGTTTTGAGTGTAAAAACTTGTGGGGGGAGGGGATGAATAATGAGATGACCTGCAAGAATGGCCTACTTTGCTGATGCCATTAATATTCTCTACATGTCTACTGAACTCGTTCAGAATGCTGTTGGTATATATATATACAAGTAGAAAAATCGAAGGGAAGTGTAGGTTTTTCTTTCTGTTTCAACTTACAAGACGTTTATAAAAGGTACAGAACAATTGTATTGAAGATATACATATAAAGCGTTGTTTCGAATAGTTTCGTAGGAATAAGCTTAAGTACATAGGGTGTTTTTTGTTTTGAGGGTGACTAATTAGTCCTTTGGGATACTAAGAGAGGACTATAAATGCTTCATAGACATCATCATGATGTATTGTGCATTTATCTTCAAGCAGTTAGAAAAGAGGCTTCCATTGCAATACCGCAAATACCTTCTTTGGCATCAATCTCTCTTTCCATTCTAATGTATCCATCCTCACCCCAGCTAGTGCCCCATGAATTCTTCACCAACCAATATTTGGTCCCGTTATCATCCTGTCCATAGCCAACCACTGTAACCCCATGGTCTAGGAAAGAGGAGCATTCACCGGTGAAGACACCACTTTTGTAGTGCTGGAAGTCGACACCACCAGCATCAATGGCAACTGAAACTGGCTGATTGGCCACAGCTTTTAAAAGCGCCAAGTCGCTGTTTGAAGGAACGTCTTCGTAACCGGTGATCTTAGCCGCACGGTTGGCTGATTCTTTCTTGTTGCAGCTTTCCATCAACTCCTTCATAGGGGTAATTGGTTTCGGTAGTAAGTCCTTTGTTTGAAATGATAAATTCAAATGCATCATCCATGAGACCGCCGTTG